TAGAATTTGGCAACGTCCATGAACACATACAATTTATATTCTTATAAAACCAGTTTCTAAAAATTGTACGATTTCTTTTTCCAATTTCTCTTTGATCTTTTTCGTGCTTGATTATTGTGACATGGTGCATCTTAAAACTTTATGATCGACAAATACATGGCCTGTTTTTACAACTTTCTCTAATACCAATCGTTACAATTACCAATAATTATTAAATATTCGAATGTTATCAACTACAAATCAATCACATTCTACAGCTATCAAACACTCTCACATTATACTAAATTGAAATGTATATACAAATTATCACTAAATATCTTAACTACTGCAAACTACATAATATATAAAGTCGATACAAAAAATCAGTAGATACCTAAATATGCGTATGGCCACTGACATTATTTGTTCAAGAATAATTATTTGGAGGTGATACAACTGAAACTAAATGCCATATCGTAAACTTCGAATTGATAAACCTTTAGCCGTTGTTATACCTACCCGCCGTTTATTAGCTAAGTCTAGTGTGCTAACATTTATGTGGTACCACAGAACAGCGAGTACAATGTACTTGAAATGAAAATGAAGTATTTGTATTTTTACTCCTTACGTATCATTTATTTTATTTCGTAATCTAATACATTATCATTTCCAATTCAATAACAATAAACAAATCTATATTATACGAAAGTATAGTTGTTAAATTGACTTTAATTAAAAATGAAATCGCAGACGGAATCAATTCACAGCAATTATTCAAAATTTTGAAAAATGGAGCATCACACAACCACATTATTAAAATAATAAAGTAAATAAATTAAGGTAATTTTCAAAAGGTTGTTTCTTTATAATATAAAGAAATTTGGTCACCACACTAGGGTTACCTCAAGGCTAACACCGGTAACAAATTAATGTTATAAATGACAGGAATATCTTTTGCTGCTTTAAGCCTTTATTAACAGCCTCACACCATGGTCAGCCTATATTGAAATATAGTAGTTTCGCCTGCTATATTTTTATGGAATTATAGTATTCGGGCCCTTTAAATAGTAGGGTTATCAATACTATACCGGACATAGGTTAATTAAGAGGATTTAGTGTGTACATACATTGTTGTGGTACACTGTTTAAAACAAAGAAGTAAAGATATTTTATTAATAGATTTGAATATATTGATATAAGTTAAACACTTGCGTTCAATGGGCAATGAATAGTTTAGCAACAATACAACCCCACTAATAATTGATATAAATGTAAATTTTTGGCTTGAACTTGCATTTAAATACTGCTCTAGTTTTGTTTGAGTATCGTCAGAAACATTTTCCTAATCATTCGACAGCAACCATATGTTACAAAAGTATAGTGAAACTTAAACATAATATAAGACTCATTAGCGCATTCATTTGTGTTGCTGGCCCGGAGGCCACTGTACCGCGCATAATTATCTAGAGAAACGTTTGAACAGTTGTTTAACTAAACGGCGGCTGTGGTGAGGTCTTCGAAGATGATAGCTTAACTTGGATGCTGAGCGGAGACTTTCCGCAGACGGTAACCTCCTGTGCCGCGCACGGTATAGAGCACCAAGACAGCGACAGCCACCACCGACATCCCAATGGCATTGATCACTATGGCTTCTTGTGACATCGACGCGTATGTATCGCTCCTGCACACCGCATGCCCCAGATTAGTAAAATATTATACACATAATACTTCAATAATGGCATTTTATACACTATAAGAGTAATTCATTCACCGATACGTTAGTAAAGGTAAGATTATTTAAATGTCATAAAAAATATACAGATAGATAACAGACTAAAATAAGTATTGTAAGTCATTAGTAGAAACATTAAGGAGTAATTAGTCAACATTAGGGAGTAATTCGTTAATAGGTGAAATGTTTTTTGGGTATTATTAAGCTATAAGTTAGGTATAGAAGATATTCAGAGATTTAAAGAAAAAAGTACACATTTACAATTAATGCTAAAGAAATCTGAATAAAATTTTGATTAAACTACACTAACTACAATTTATCTACACGTTCAAAAACATTTTTGGAAATTATTTTGTATAATGAGTGAATGGTGCCCTAATGAAATTAATTAGAAAAAAAGTCTAAAGGTAACACCATCTGTAGCCAGATGCAGATATTATACCAGACCTATAGCAAGACGTTGAATTTATTTGCTTCAACTTATCTACCAATAGACTTGTCTGTTTGACACTAATATTATAATATACACCCAAAATATAGGTAATTACCAAAAAATAGTGCTCTAAGTGTCTGTTATTGATCATATTTAGGTAGAAAAAACTTAAAATAATGAATTTAAAAAATCTCCAAAAAAGGATAATAATTAGTTACTCGTTTATAGTTAGTACGTATAATAGGAGAGTATTAACTCCAATTCGATCCATTCATAAATCGCATGCTGTGTCGCTCATTCAAGTAAGCGAGAGAATACGACGAGTGAGAAAGGAGTTGTAACGGTGGGGTACTGTACTAATGGAGAGAGATGGAACGGGAGCGTCTTATGAATGGAGTACGTAAGTTATTAACTTGTGTAGTATTTTCTAGTACGGTGCCAATAAAATTACTCCAGTTTTTGGATAAAAGCAAACCTCGATAACATTGTGATAGATAAAAAATTCGGACAGTGCCTTAAATTGTTTTGGTACTTACAAAATAGTGGTGTAGGTATATCAATGATTTAAAATGAGTAAGTGTATGATGTCCTCCAGACTGAATTGAGGTCACGACGATCTGTCTCAACAGAGGCTAGCTATCATTTAGTGCAGGACAGGACATTAAAATGCACGACTGTGTGCACAACCACAGTTACATACTCTCTATTCCCTCTCTCTCATTAGTCCGACGAGACGGCAATCTGACTCGACCGGAGAAAGATCAGGTGCAAGACCATCGGCTTTACGTGCTTTCCGAGGCACGGGATTGAAGCACCGCCAACTTCCTGAATCCAGGTTGCTACTGAGAATTTCTTAATAGAGAAGTCCAATAACTGATTTTGACCTGATCCGGAATTCAAAGCCGGGACCATATTATCAGTAGTCGTGTCTACGACTAGACCAGTGAGACAGTCAAATTTTGCATGTGCTTGCGTTACAGGAGGCAAAAAAGTTAATATATTATTTTTTTATTTTTGATATATGTACTTACGTTATTTAATAGTTTTTATAAATATTTGCTGCTTTTGTTCCGGCTTCATACCAACAATAAAATAGGTGCGTTTCGTACATTTCAAGTGTCACCGAAACCAATTCATGCTCATTCTTACCCCGATATGTTGGCCAAGGCTCAGCCAACGCGAGCGTCGGCAAATTGATACAAGGCGAGTGTTACAGTCTACACGTTGGTCAAGTTCGAAAGAGACCAATGCCAACTGCCAATGTTCACGAGTTTTTGTGGGGCTATCCACATGTTGGCAGTAGGTAATTAGTTTTCATTGAGAATTGGAACGATATGGACGTGCATATAATTACGAATATCATGTCAGTGTACTCCGCAGTAAAGTTGTAAAAAAGAAGAAGCAGTGACATTGTCGAAATTATTTTGAAGTTGCAACTTAATTAAAACATAATACCTCACCGGGACGGACCTTAAGCTGTAATTGACATGGCCGACTAACATATGTTACATGCAGACACAGTCACATTCAGCACATTCAAGCACCAAACATATGCATTTAAAATCATTTACAACCAGCAACATGGCTTAAGGCCTAAAGAAGTAGGCTTATATGTCCTGTTAAAGAAAGGAAATAAAGAAAGAAGAAAGATGCCAGCATTCGACTCTGGTTGTGTTGTTCAAATCCCCCCTCTCTCATTTTCCTTCTCTCCACTAAGATACTGCACCCTAGATTACGTCCAATTTTCTCACATAGCCATTATATGAGACGCGGTTTAGGACGAGTGGGAGATTTTATGTTTGCACGTACACCTATGACATTACAATAAAACAGGCATGTCCTGTGTAATTGATAATAACTAATAGCTTCCGGTCAGTCCGACAGTCAAAAGATCGTGTGATCGAATTCGGCTGGAATAGGGACATTATTTTATAGAACAGATTTTAACGATGTAGTCTTAGTGCAGTTTAATATTTAAAACTAAGTTAACAACTATTTACTGTATTAAGAACAATAAAAAGTTATACTACCGCCACATACACATGCAAGCTTGTAAGCTTGTAAAGCAGTTTTTTTTACAAAAAGCAATTTTAACTATGCAGGTAAATTATGCATGCATTGCCGTATTAACACATATATAAGTAAAAGTTAAATCAACTTATAATTATTTTAATATTAAATAATACCTATCTTAGGTATCATTTTAATGGAAAATGAAACATTTCAAATAATCTTGTAATTTTAATCCTATAAAATAATAATTATTGTAACGTCATTTGATCTGATACAGACCAAACCCTATATTTCAATGAGCCTCCTTAGGTATTTTTTTATTACATACATACTTGAAAAAGAATATACAATGATAATATCAAATAACAAATTGTATATAATGATAAAATGATAAATAATAAACCATATGAAAAATGTCTCTATACTAATTTATTGCATTTTATTTTTACTTTTACGTTTTACCAAAACGTAAGTAAAATTTTTATTACGTTTCTTTATTGTATAATGTAAACAAGAAAAATGTTTATTTTATATACGCAAACACTTTAAAGTCGACCCTTTCGCTGTCCCGTGCACTACACATAGGTCATTGATATTGTCTTACTATTGTGACTGAAAACCGGACATTGAAAGTATTAAAGTAAATAAACTTTTTAATTAAAAAATATAATACACAACTACATCTAGGTAGCCAGCCAATAATCTAACAGCTATGTAAACATTTTTATTGTTCAAAAATAGTAACATGCTATTAGAGTTGCTTGCAAATATTAGTTCCCGTCGCTTTAATTATCTTTGTTTTTGTTTTCATTTCTGTGACTCTATGATTCGTAATTTTTTAATCTATAGATCTACTGAAACTCGTATGTGGTCTTCGCGAGACGATGCTACGCGAAATTTGTCCCTCGATACAATGTACATGATGACAGCGAGTATTGCAATTGACGCCACTCCGATTGCATTGATGATGACACCTTCGTCGGGCAGCCCACTGTATCTCTCCGCACTGTGGATACGCACACATACAAGCATCTCACACAACACATGTAGCATGTAAGCAAATACCACGAACATAGAAAGGTAGCGGTAACAAACAAATAAGCAACAAACGATAATAATCAAACAATTAATGAAAGGAGTAACAGCGTAAATAATATAACCTAGTGCTGGGCTCAGAACTCCTCTCATTTCTAGTGAGTTGTGGAGAAAAATAGATTCCGCCAAACTGCCCCAATGCGTGTTGGTGGACTTCACATCATGTTCTCGAATTTTTTATTTATTTAGCAACAGATTCTATCTCAATGCTTTGATGCCAACGCTTCATCAACGAGCACTTAATAAATCAGCACTTAAAAAATTTATTTTATTATTTCATTGGTGCTGACGGCAGTCAAATTGGAGTTTGACATTAATGACAAGCTTCTATCTCCTGAGCTACCAAGGACCATGCATGATATAAAGTAATTATTATAATATATTTATAATATACAATATTAAAAACTATAATAATAAAAAGAAACTAAAACTAGAAACTTAATTATCATATAGTCCTACTCCCCGCGGTATCGTGCCAAGAACGCTGGCCGCGTTTCCCCGCTGAATGGCTATACTTAGCCTTTGAGCGAGAAAGGAACCAGCCCTCTTATCACCTGCAGCAACGACCAGCCGCGGATGGAGTTCCTTTAAGAACTTCACCGCACGTGGACCCCACGGACCGATAGTCTCTACAGCAAATGGCACAAATATGTAGTCATCTCTCAGAGACTCATATTTGCGCCACTTACTCAGTTCAGCTGCCTCTGATGCCGCCCCGGCTCTAAACGAGGTACCCCTGAGATGAGAGGCCGCCAGAGTGTCTACGCAAGTAGCATCCCACACTAGGGCTTTACCTCTCTCCCAAGGGACCAATGTCATACCGTCGGGTCTCCTGCCATCGTCTCTAAATATTCCGCAAGGCTCTAAAACCGAGGGAATATTTATAGAGACAAGAGCCCTTCGGATGACATCGTTTAAAGAACTGTGTCGTGAAAATCTACCAGCGGTTTTCTTACAGGAAATTCCGTGGAGCCCAAACTTGTCGACGCTGCCACCACAGGGGCACTCATGGGGTTGACAAAGCGCCGCTCCTAGTCGGATTCCTACGGCAATACGCAAGCTTTCCGCATCAAGTAATGTGCCGAGATTACTTGATGGTAAAGCGTGTAACCAGTGACTAAATTCCTTAGTCGAAACAGCTAGAATAGCTAGCTATATATATTCGTTAACTAAAATTAATTGACAATTTAGCATAAAGTACTTTCTATTTATAGTTGAAAAATCAATACTATTTGTAGCAAAATAATAATAATAATGTTTTTTTAGTAATAAGTTACAAAGACATGCACGCCAAAATTCATCATTCAGAAGAATGCAAGACTAAAATAGATGGAAACCATTTAATTATCTAGATAGTTTACGATTCAAACAATTTACCGATATAGTTCCTTTAAATACGTACCCAAGGGTAAAGATTGCCTTTTCAGTAAGTCCAGTCAAGCAGGCCGCCACTCCGAGTACGAAAGTCAAAATACCGAAGGCTGCGTGAACTGGCACGAGAGAAGCACGGAAGCCAGCAGTGCCTTTATTGCAGATTAATAGCAAAAGAAAACTGAAGAAGCCGACTGCATACTGGGAAAAGAATCAGCAACATTTCATATTTTAATAAATTATTAGTGAATCGCCTCGCCTTTGCTTGAGTAGGAAATATTAATGTGGATATATAAATTTAAGATAGTCAAAGACCATTTATTTTATCAATTATTCGATTTCAAAAAATACGCAAGATTTAATCGTTTATAATATTTTGCAGCTAAGACTTTAAGACCCTGTTGGTTTACTCTGCGTAGATTGGACCAAAAATTACGAATAAAAAGTTGAGACATACGAACACCTCTGTCCTATGTGTGTTTCAAAGCATTATAGCGTCGGGGATACAAAAATAATTAAACACAATACAATTTGAAGAATTAGTTTAATTCAATATCTTGTAGTCGCATAATCGTAAACATAAGAGATCATTAAAAGTTGCCAATGAGCCGGCTATAACTTTGAAAAATTGGCAAGCGATAGTGAAGGGAGTTGGCAGCCTCATACTGACAACTACACCTATCTATTGCATAAGTTTCTTTCTGGTTCTTCTCAGGAGATCTCATAACAGGGGTAGAGCCACGCGGCAGCTTTTGCTGTCGCACGGATGGGTCGGCTCGAACCGGGGTGGTACCACGACCTCACAGAAAACCAGCGTGAAGTAGCGGTTTACCTCTGCGTTTCGCTTGGTGAGTGCAGATGGCCGGAGGCCCTTTTAACTGGAAATGAGGCATTCCATCTTAGTCCTCACGGGTGACAACGCATCTAAATTTTGATTTGTAATAGAGGATAGATGTAGATGTCTATGGGCCGCAGCAACCACTTACCATCAGGTGGACTGTGTGTTCGTTTGTCACCCTTATCCTATAAAAAAAAAGAAAAAGGAGAGGTACGAGTGTCACATTTAAAACCTATAGTACATTTTATTGTTTAAAGGGCCTTCTTTCAAGGCTAACTCAATTAAATATTTTCGATTTTGACTTTAAGTAGCCTTTGAGATAATTGACGTATTCCATATTGTGGTTTACTGTGTTACCTGAATTCCAAACAGTCCCATAGCCACTAAGCCAATCCAGCTGTGAAGCGAGTAGAAGTTCTTGATTCCCGTCTTGTTATGGAAATCTAGCACTGCCAAGAAACCAATGACGATGCACGGGAACGCCAGCGCATGGAAGATGGCATGCAGCAACTTCACGTAGATGCGTCTGAAGCACCGGCAAATGCGGTACAGAAGAACGGCTGCGAATGTGCAAAAATATTATTGAATATATTTTCTATAGTCCTGTATACAACAGCGTATTCTTTACACCTACCGAATATACATAATTTAATTTATGGTATAGTGAAATAGTACAAGAAAAAATAGTTCTGAGGCGGTAAGGAGCGGTGCCAGCAAATTTTAAACACTGTGGTGAAATATTTTCCAATTTATTACTCTCTGGGCGAAAAAAGAAGATTCAAACCTTATAATGGGATTTTTATGGCTATCTTACTCCACATAAACTAGAAACACGGATGGATCAATGCCTGTTTAATATTGTCCAATTGATGTGTGGATTAATTAATAACATCAAGTTTAAGAGGTTTTTTCGCTTTAACTCGAACCTCGAATGAATTTTTTTTATAAGATAAGGGAGACAAACGAGCACACCGTTCACCTGATGGTAAGTGGTTGTTGTGACCCATAGACGTGTACATCTAATCTATTCTCGATTACAAATCAAACTGCAGATGCGTTGTCACCCGTGAGGACTAAAATAGAATGCCTAACTATCTACGTATCTATATAGCAGTAATGGGTTCTTCTGTTCTTCTCATCACATCTTTTGCGCCAATTCAAAATAATATTTGTACCAAAATGTGAAATCATTTAGCCCACAATATAAATGATTTCGCGGAACTCTGGTGACTTCCACGGAACCCACTTTAGCAATCTCTGCTATAGATTACAATATCACCATCTCATTTACACCAAGCGTAAAATACCCACACCGGCAAGAGGCACCAGCGTTAATGGTACCAAACATCTGGTACTGCAATCTGTAATCATCCTGCACAAGCGTGACGATTTATACATCCTCCCTACAAAGGCAGAGGCCCATGTAAGGCAGTGAACTTTTACGAGTTCTTAAGAAGAAAATTTGATTTATACATTTTAGTCATGATTGCTTGAAATTAACGTTACTTGATATAACCCTATTATAAAAAAAATACTTACAGAAACCGCTAAAGGTGATGAATCCGGCCACCATCAGCGTTGGATGTAAATTGAACTGCTTCTCGGGGATTTCATCGGCCCAGGCGTAGCCCTCTCGGTAGAAGAATATCCAGAAGATAGTAAGGGCGGAGACACCGATGAGAAGGATGCAGGCCAACGTGATGACCAGCGCGTACTCGCACCACTCACACGCGCCACGCTCATGTTCCTCGGAATCATAGGAACGGCTACGTTGGCTGAAACAAAATACGTTTAAATAAATATTGAGCTCGTAGATAAGATATACTAAGAATTGTTTATAATTATATAGTAGGTACTTAAAAAATTGCATCAGAGATTCCTTAATTTAAGTGGCGTACTCGTAGGCACCTGTGGCAATGTTCGAATGGATAATTTTATGGAGCATGAACAGATAATATTATCGTTTACGTCGCACTTCTAAAGACATTAAACTAAAATGTTTAAGTCGTGATTCGTACAAAGTTAGATGCGACCATGTCCTACACTAAATGATAATTTTTTGAGAAATTTATTTCGTACACTCTTAATTTTTTTCCAATTTACTTCGTAGCATGGTGACTAAATAACAGAGCATTCAGTATTCCAAAATACATACATCCTACGAAACTACATATAATATAGACAAACATAACTTTTTTATTTCGAAATTTCTTTGTTGACCGAGAAAGGAACTCTATTGAAATGTTTTGTTATTTCGTCCTCGAACAAGATATCTGGGCTACAGTTTGGCGTTGAAGTATATTGCCGTCCAGTAACTACATATTATGCCAGCTAACTCTTACAAGTAAAAGATATCATAAAACATTTTTGTACGTTTAAGAACATTGTTTTCCCCGTAGCCTGTGTGCTAATCTCGTACCTATAAGCTATAAGCGAAGGGTAGGGCGCCACCTCACTAGATGGAGTAACGATCTGGTGAAACATGCAGGAATTCGATGGATTCAAGTGGATCAGGCCGTTTTCTGTGGCATTCCTTGAGCCAGGCCCATATATTATAATCTATTAATTGAAATTATTCTATTGTATTCTGTTTTAATTCAGTTATTTTTTGGCGTATTAAGATTTTCGACTTTTATCAAAGGCTGCTAATTTAAGGCCGTTAATTGCCTATTTTATAATATTTTATTTGAGAAACGGCAAGAGCATAATGGTTAAGGTAAGAACTGTGTAACTAAAAGTAGTGAGTTTTTTATATAGATTGAGGGTGACAAACAAGCACACAGTCCACCTGATGGTAAGAGGTTGCTGTGGCCCATAGACATCTACATATATCTTCGAGTACGAATCAAAATGCAGATGCGTCACTCGTGAGGACTAAGGTGGAATGCCTCGTTTCCAGTAAAAAGGGTCACCGGTTCTCTACACTCACCATACGAAATACAGCAGCGTTAAGCTGCTATTTTACGCTGGTATTCTGTAAAAGCGTGGTCCTTCCTCGGTCGAGCCGACCCATTCGACTTACAACCATAATATAACGACTATATTCCTGATACCTCCCAGCACATCATTTTAACGTTATTTGCTATGGACTCAGTTACTTTTATATCTTTTTGGAGCAGGTCCGAGATGTCTTTATTTTAAACTAGCTGTTCCCCGCGACTTCGCCCGCGTGTAATTTAGGGTTTTAATTATGTGCGCGGGACCCTAATTCCTTTTCTAGAATATACGTAGCCTAAGTTACTCCTTATATCAGCAGCAATCTGCCACTGAAAGTCCCGTCGAAATCGATCGAGCCGTTTCGAAGATTAACCGGAACAAACAGACAGACGGACAGACATTTTTTTTAAATTGTGTTATAAGTACCGTATATTCTTTCATATGCATTTAGTAAAAAGCTGTTATTTTGACATTAATTTGACATTATTAAGCATACACTTCAATTTTATTTATTTGTATAGATAGATATATGAAGTTAATAAATTTAAGATTATCGTCTTATAGTAGACAGGGAAACCTGAGTTATTTTACAAGATCACTAGTAAATACATGTAAAAATAATGGAATTACGCGTGAATACCAGAGGTTGAGGTGACTGGACATGACGTATACCTTTAATAGCTCCTAGCTGAGTTCTGCTCAGTATATAGGATTGCACACATAAAAGCAAAGAATATTCACAAAAAAAAGATATTCTCATAAACTAAACTAAACTGCTGAGATTTATAGATTACAACCTAGTTTACAATAAAGAATGATAATCTTTTTGTCGTCTTCCATGTTATATAGCCACGCTAAAGCTGTAATTTTGCGAATGCCCTGACCCAACCAGGGAAGGATCTCTCAGCATATCAGCGCAAAATAGCCGTAGGTATAAAGCTGCTATATTTCGTATGGTGAGTGACTGTATCCGGAGACCCATTTTACTGGTAAACAAACATTTGACCTGCAGTGTCAGATTCAGATTCTTTATTTGCCACAATGTAGGTACAGGTTTAATATGGTACATTACTAAGTGTTTCCGCTACATTCTACCTTACGGTATGCAAAGTCATAAAAACTAAAAGATACAATTCTGATAGCAAATTAGCTACTAATATGTCATTCATATATAATGTAAATTCTCGTTTATGTCATTTTAACCTATTTATAAAAATATGTATCATTTAAAAGTGTTTTAAACAATAATAACATTTTTCTAATAATAATGCAGTCAGCTTTAATTTAAATTCTCTTATAAGTGTTCTTTATAAGTGTCCGGAATTTTATTGTATATTATAGACCCTATTGACATGATATTTTTTCTAATTAGTGCTGTTTTGTCCGAGTACTAATATCGGCTAGTGACGGAAATAATTTAAAATTCGTTTTACAAAAATCGCAACTTCCAAAATATACAAACACGGAAAGGTAAGTATTTTTAGTGACCTAAACATAGACTCACAGCTGTCTGTAAATTTTAGATTTGACATAGATCTTATGCAACGTTTTGGGCCCTGAAAATCTCCTCCCTTTCACTACAATTGCCCCAAAATATAGGTAATACAGCACATAAGCTAACTTGCTCAGTTTGTTACAAACGCCTTCGGAATGAGGTTTCCAAGTGAGCTTGCTGTCAGCTAATATACGGTATAGGTACCTAGGAAATTTGCAATAATTGTTGAGTCCACACTTTGAAACACTGCATCCACTAACCATAATGTGGATTGGGTTGTGTTGATAAAATACTCCACCGACAGCTCCCTCATAATCCATTCATCCATCCATTACAGCTTATAAAAGTCCACTGCTGAACATAGGCCTCCCCCACAGGTTGCCTCTTGAGGAATAGGTGACGAGAAAATGCGACGTAATCTTCTACATTACATACACAAAACAAAACAAACATACATGCGGAAAAAATAATTTGTGTGTAATTAAATTTAAAAACCACACCCACAACGAAAACTGCTCTATAATCTACATTTATTTATTGTATAACATGTGAGTATAATGTTTCCGTACACACGATACCTACATCAAAATAAAAGAACTGGTAGATTTGTCGTAATTTACGAACCAGAAAACCGCAGGTTAATGAACGCTCCGATATCAACCTTTGATAGGTGAATGTGAAGTTTTATTTCAGCCAATGTGAATAATTTCACAGAATAAATAATAGTACCAGATAATACGTACTTTTATATGTAGTTGGTTTATGGTAAAATCAGGTTTTTTGATTAAAAACCTAGACTGATTTACATTTATGATAAAATTAATGTCTGTTGCATTTCTTTAAATAAATAAAATAATTGGATAACATAACCTAAAATAACCAAACCTAAGCTAAAATTTATCATACACCCAAACAAGTAATGGTTTTTTCTTCTTCCGGTTCTTGATCAAAAGCCTAGCTTTTTGATCAAAAACCTGATTTTAACGTAAAACTGCGACACAAAGAAACGGCGTAAGATTATATACCTATTATAGCTGTGCAATGAGCGTGTGTGGACCACACAAGGGTGTCAAGTAGCGTGAGATTATTGAGACGACAGCGCCGGATGTTCTGGAGAAGTCGCGTCACGGAACGTTGGGAAAATAACTTTTTAAGTACTCTATAACACGAGTTTCATATTAAAGCATTTAAACATAATAAGCGAGTTAAGCAGCTTTATTATGGTAGTAACATAAATTGGTCGGCTCGACCGGGGAAGGACCACGCTCTCACAGAATACCATCGTGTAATAACGCCTAATGGTGCTCTGTTTTGTATGGTGAGTATAATGAACCGGAGACCCTTTTTACTGGAAACGGGACATTCCATCTACTTACAAAGATAGAGAGGACTACCTCAGGGGTGACAAAGCATTCTGCATTTTGATTCTTAATCCAGTACAGATGTACAGCTACAGGCTACAGCAACCACTTACCATCAGGTGAACTGTGTGCTCTCGTTTGTTACCTATACTATACACAAATTTAAAAACCGGTTTAAAAATTGAACCACAGTTTGTTTTCCAGCAAAATTGTAGTGATAAAAACTTATAGTTTAGAATATCATACTAAATGTCATGATTTGAACATAAAACAAAACAAAATGGGAATACCTAAATTAAAAAAAATCGTATCTGTTTTAAATAAATAGATTGACTTGGAAATCGCACTAAACAATCTAATTTAATATAATATGTATTAAGCCAAGTCAATCTATTTATTTAAATCATAAAAGACTTTTAATATTGATATGGTCACTAATAGATGTTGTTAGGTTAGCTAATTACGTAATAACTTAAGACAGAAGGACCCTTAAGTAGTGACTGAATAAATTAACCGACCTGGTATTACATGGATCTCACAACTTTTAACGGTAGAAGAACTGAGTTGCGAGACTTGTTTTTTTTTATAAGTTATGTTTTTGATGGCATTCCTATTACGGTTACAATTTAAACAATCTAAAGTAGCGTATGTACTCTGGTGATCAAATTTATACTTGTCAACCGTTTTTAGTTTTTCAATTAAAAATTCGTTGATATTTTTAAACAAAAATTAACGATTAGCTTATCTCTAGTTTGGGTATTTTACGTTTCGAGTAAACGTGATTGTACATTGCCGTCTCATCATCAGGAAGCCATAAGATTGATCTGCCTTAATATTGTTGCGCGCCGCTATTAGTGTCTTGTACATGGCAACACTAGTTACACTAGTGCCCTCTAGTGTCGAGTAGCAGAACTAGGAGAGTCAAGATCCTTCCAGAAATTTCGGGACCGATATGTACTCGAACATTCTAGATGTCGCTATA